TAGGATCAAAGTTGGATATCATTGGAGCTTTCTCAACTTCAGTAGGTTATAAAGTTACTTATAGGATCAACGTTGGATATCATTGGAGCTTTGCCAACTTCAATAGGTTATAAAGTCACTTATAGGATCAAAGATGGATATCATTGGAGCTTTGTCAACTTCAATAGGTTATAAAGTCACTTATAGGATCAAAGATGGGTATCATTGGAGCTTTCTCAATTTCAGTAGGTTATAAAGTTGGTTATAGGATCAAAGATGGATATCATTGGAGCTTTGTCAACTTCAATAGGTTATAAAGTCACTTATAGGATCAAAGATGGGTATCATTGGAGCTTTCTCAATTTCAGTAGGTTATTTTTCAATGCCAAAGACGATGCTGTTTGCTCCTCTAATAAATTCTGTAAATACATTATTGAATAAAAACATAAGTCCGATACCGGATACTCTACCTCCTCTAAAGTTAATCTGACACATGGCTACTATTACAGCTCCAGAAATTTATGTCGAGGAAACGAAATACACTCTTTTATACAACCCATAAGTGGATTGATTTAACTCGTTTTTTAGCTACAAAACTTACTCCCAGGTTTTATCTGAAAAACAAAAGACAGCAACTGCTAACGACATTGTTTTTCGGTATGGTAAATAACCGGTTCTAGCTCTATGGTCGTAACACAATTCACTTTATCTTTTTCTCATGCTATTTCTCAAACGCGCGAGTATGCATGTGAAAAACTATAGTAGTGACCTAGAATTACTCGCTGTGTTGGTAAGATTAAAATCTGTGAAATATTTATTATAACTAATACAGGACTATAAAAATAACAACACATATATATCTTGACAAGAACATTCGCATATTTCGGATGTTCGCTCAAAGCTACACAAGGTCTATCTGCCCTAACCGTACCTAATTTTGAACTCATAGACTAGAGGGAAAGCAGCTAGTCAACAGCACCCGCCGCCAATTATCAGGTTACTGTTGTCAGAACGAATAGTTGGATCTGGCCGTCACCATTATAAAGCATTCATAGCCCCAAAATGGGGAGACCGGTTTTTTTTAAGGGGGAGAGGGGATGATAAGATATGAACGATGGACCTGCAGAGCCTTAGTCCAGCACTTTATCTTCTGGACCACACTCAACCTCTTGGTCCAAAGAAATGACTACTACGTTTCTATTTTACGTGACTTGCGGTAGTAAAATAATCTAAGTTAGGGTTGACCAACATCAAATCATCATGTAGTAACAACGGGGATGAGTTTGGAGGATAAAGATATTTTTGTGGCCTTAAAAGATTTGCGAATTATATCAGCCAAAGTCGATAAGAAAGAAAACTTTAAACTGAATCTAAGACCCCCCCCCAAAAAAAAGAACTTATACCTTAAGTTACAGTCATTATGTTAATAAAAAGTGAAACATTAAGCCAAACAATTCTTCGTCATAATAGAAATAAGAATAATATTTTGAACTTAAAGATAAAACTGTGTAAAATCAAAAGAGAGAGAATGAGTAAATGAAAAGGAAAACAAAACATCTAAAAGCCATGTTTGAAATTCGACAAAAATGCGTAGCTGGCTTAGGGTTGTAGTTAGCAATGTTCCAGCTCAGTTCTACCCAACAGTTCCGTATGGGACCATGACAATCTGGTAACATCCTCCTGATCGAGATAATCCCGTACAATACACGTACTGTGGGCAGTGGCATTGTCATCATGGAACACAAAGTTATTGCCAAATCTTGCCCTTGCATATGATAGAAATATCATCTCCATGTGATGTCTGTAGGAAACGCCATTGACGTTTTCCTGGAGGATATGAACCGCAGTTTTTCGAAACATGTACTGCACCACCTTCTTTGAGTTCCCTGTATGAAAGACAGTCTTCTGTCATCTGTTGTCCAGGCAAACGACGAACACAAATCCTACCATCAGCTTTAACAAACCGGAAACAGGACTCATATGAAAAGATGACATGTTACCAGTGTCCTAGCTGTAAGTTGGCATGCTGTATTGCCCAAGTAACACGGTGACGGCGGTGAATTCTGGTTAATATCAGTTTGTATATAGCCCTTTTTGCAAAACAACCGTATTTGGTCAATCTTCTATTCACTGTTTTTCTGTATACCTTGGAATTAATGTGTTCTTGCAATTCCTGTCGTAAGGTGTTGGAATACTTTTTTAGACCTTGAAGTGTTAACCTGATCAAAACACGGACAGTAGTGTTTTTGGCGTCTATCGGTAGACCTTCCTGGAACAACATTTCCTGTAGTCCGTTTATGTTTCAATATTCTGTATACAGTACAGTGGGGGTAGCATACTATTCTGGTAATGTGCGTTTACTTCATACCATTTCTGAACAGCCAAACAATTTGAAGCCCTACAGCTTCTGGCACGTGACGAGGCATGACTTTACATCAAGTATAGAGAAATTATCTGAAGAAAGAGTTGATCTGTTTCGAAAAATATTATACCAAAAGCACACTCTTTTATACAAAACAAATGTGTATGTGTGTGTTTTGATGAACAAATGCTCAAAATACGCTACCTTCCCTGTTACTACTCGAACATTTTCTCAATAATTACTTGATGCATGTGGAAAATAACATCAATATAGAACAATACGCAAACATGTTGGGAAAGACTGTAATATTCAGTCCAAAAGTGCGTGCACATTTTACTATCTAAATAAGCATGCGTGCGCACTTTATTTCAACGGATGTAAACAAAACGCGGATGTAAATATACTTCAGTAGACATTTTTTACAACAGCATATTAAAAGCTTATCAAAGTTTTTAAAAAGGTATAAAGCTAGATCGTAGAATGACATTATAAATCTATTTATTAATAATATTAATTACGGTAAAGTTTAGCCCTGATTAAACTTAAGAAACAATGTACGCATGTTACAGTGTTATTTCATCTCTTTATCGAATATAGGCCGTACTTAATAAAAGCTTAACTAATGTTAGGCCTAAGACAAGGGGACTTACAAATTTCAGTGTCTGCGACTATAATTATTTTGTATTATTGTAGAAATAATTTTGCAAGTCTCTACTAGTTACTAAATAATTACGATTCAATTTAGGCCAAAAATAATTACATTTAGCATTTATTTTGTACTAAAAACAAAACAAACTTAAGATACGTCAGTTTTCTAGTGTCTTAATGTCCAAAATATAATAATATGTAAACTTATTATCCACGTTTACTCCATTTTTTTTGCGAGTGCAGCGAAAAATATAGCCAATTGTAAAATGTTTCAGGTGTACTTTAACCACCCACATTTTAATATTTATTTCGTATTAACCACTTTAAGTGACTTTAATTTGCTTCAAACTCCCACCTTTCAACATTTATTTTGCATTAACTACGCTAAAGGATTTTGGTTTACGTTAAACATCAATATTTTAGTATTTATTTCGTATTAGCCACTCTAGGTGATTTTGGTTTACTTTAAACATCAATATTTTAGTACCACCTTAGCATTTATTGTGTATGCAAAGAGAGATTGGTTTATTTTAAGAACCTACATTTTAACATATATTTTGTATTAGTCGCTCTAGGTGATTTTTGATTTCTTGAAATACCCCTACTTCAGCATTTATTTTGTATGCAAAGGGAGATTGGTTTATTTTAAGAACCTACATTTTGACATATATTTTGTATTAGTCGCTCTAGGTGATTTTGGTTTTTGAAATACCCCTACTTCAGCATTTATTTTGTATTAACCACCCAGCTACGTGTTTTAGACTTACTTTAAGCACTAATATCTTGGCATTTATATTTTACTAAACAGCCTTGAGTGATTCTCGTTTACTTTGAACACCCATGTCTTAGCATTTACTTGTGTATTAACCACACCAGATGATTCTGATCTACTTTAAACACTCATATTTTAGCAGTTATTTTCTAATAGCCACCTATTAATTGCGAATGTGTTAAACACCTACATTTTAACATTTATTTCGTATTAGCCACTTTAAGTGACTATGGTTTGCTTTAAACGCCCATATTTTACACATATAGAGAGATCTTTCCAGAAAACGTGCCATCCTTTGTCAATACCTAACCTTGTTTATGTTTGTGAGTTGAATAAAGATATTTTCATTTGGTTATAGATTGTGTCTAGTTTCTTTCATTCTTAGTCCCCCGGTGGGACAGCGGTAAGTCTTCGGATTTGCAATGCTAAAATCGGGGGTTCGACACAGCAGATATCTTGATGTGGCTTTGCTATAAGAAAACACCCACTTTCATTATTGAAACTCAGTCAGATAATTCATATTCGTCCTATATTTTCTGCCAGACCTCATGTCATTCTGTGAAACCAACTCGTCATTCTGTGGAACCTACTCTGTAATTCTTATGGGAAATCAGTGCACCTAAGAACACCAAATTAGTAAAAACATTTCCTAGTGGGAATATCTCTGACTATTGTGTTTATGAACGTAGGTACTTTCCTAAATGGGCTATTTATCATATCATTTCAAGAGTACCAAACTCACATAAATTTAACACATAGATAAACATTTTTTGTCTCAAATGTATCTCATTGTTTTAATCTGTGCTTCATTATTTTATAAGGAGTATTGGCAATTCCAATAATGGTATCATAAGAATTCTGTATTTACAAAAGATTTAACAGGATGCGAATAATCAATCTGGTTGCCTAACAGATATTATATTTTTAGAAGGTTAGTATGTTTACATCTACAGCATACCAAGTGAAGCCAAACCGCTACTGTTGTTTCTTATGTTGCCCTCGAACAATCCAGTTTCTGTTTTTTACATTATTTATGAAAAAATCAATATACAGGTCAAAAGCAACGCTCAGTTATTTTAAGGAATGAACAAGTTATTAATTTTTAGCTTTATTTTTAAGTTAGAAATTTGTACATTAACTAAAAAATTACTTGCATGCTTAACTTTTTTTGAGTCATGTGATCAGTAACAGTTGGTGACGTAAGGCTTATAAATACTGTCAAGCAGACCTATGTTATCAGTACTAGCATAGTTATTCGTATCAGAATAACCCAAAGAGGGAAGAATAGTCCTCCAGGTGGCGTACTCATCATTGCCTTCAAATAAATTTAAGGTATGATATGAAAAAATAATTGCAGTTCAAAGATGTATGTATGTATTAACATTTTCTTTGCTAATTGTCTGTTGCTTAAATTTCCCCAGCAGATAGGCTGCATTCTGTAAGACTTGATATTCGCAGTAACATGGAGAAAATAACATTTCTTAAGCAGGGACAAAAAATATATATCTTGTATATGCTTGTTCACGATTAGACCTATGAAAAATGTAGGCTAAATGAACATTTGAAAGAAGCTCGCCGAACCCAGAGCTGATTCAGAATAGCTGGACAAGGGAGGTCAAGAAGTGACGCGTGAAAGAGTTAAACTCGCTTACTGGGGGCCTTGCCATATGGTCCGGTGATTAGTGCGTTCGACTTGCAACTTGTGGGTCGCGAGTTCGAATTCCGTGACAGAGCATGTTTACCCTTTCAGCCCTAGAGGCGTTATAATGGGACGGCCAATCCCACTAATCGATTTTAAATACTAGCCTAAGAGTTGGCGGTAGGTGGTATTGACCATCTGCTCTTCCTCTAGTCTATACTTTCAAAATTAAGAACCGCTAGCGAAGATAGTCTTCGAATAGCTTCTCGCAAAACTAAAAAAAAAACAAACAAATAATTTTATTGTTGTAGTAAGAAGTACATTGAAGTAATGAATTGTTCATATAAAACTTTCCATAAGTTTTATTATCTAAGGTTCAGGTTAAATTTTAGATACTTACTAAGTGTTAATGTTGCTCAAACGGAACTGTTATGTTGACTGTCTCGGATACCTACTAAATGTTAATGTTGCTCAAACGGAACTGTTATGTTGATTGTATCAGATACTTACTAAATGTTAATGTTGCTCAAACGGAACTGTTATGTTAACTGTCTCGGATACTTACTAAATGTTAATATTGCTCAAACGGAACTGTTATGTTGATTGTATCAGATACTTACTAAATGTTAATGTTGCTCAAACGGAACTGTTATGTTGATTGTATCAGATACTTACTAAATGTTAATGTTGCTCAAATGGAACTGTTATGTTGACTGTCTCGGATACTTACTAAATGTTAATGTTGCTCAAACGGAACTGTTATGTTGACTGTCTCGGATACTTATTAAATGTTAATGTTGCTCAAACGGAACTGTTATGTTGACTGTCTCGGATACTTACTAAATGTTGATGTTGCTCAAACGGAACTGTGATGTTAACTGTCTCTATTCTCTAAACATTTCACATTTAAATAAATGTTGTAGAGGTAATGATTACTCATGACATGGACCAGCTCGCGACTTTTCGATTTTGTTTTTAGAAACCATAGAACGTTCTTGGTTTCTCAAGACGGTTTTATGCGTTTGCTACTAGCGAAAGTTCTCGAAGCATTTAAGGTATTATTAGCAGCTTGCCCCACCAAGCGGCATTCCTACACACCAGTAGGCCACTGTCTTGAGTGAGTGTACAATATAATTTAAGTTATTGGTTGCTCGTTTCATAATTTTCATGCAAAGCTACTCAGTGCCTATCTGCGCATAGTTGTCCTTAAGTTTGAACTGACAGATTATAGGTAAGACATAGCAGAACGCACCGACAACTCTTAGACTGCTTTTGTTAGACGGAATAGTGAAATTTGACAGTCAATCTTACTGCATACCAACGGCTCCAAAAGGCAAAGCGTATTTTTATGTAATGGGATACAAACCATAAACCTTCTTTCTCGCTTATCCGGAGCGATACGTAGATTTTAAGTAGTAGGAAAATGTGTTCTATTGGCTACCATACCCAGTGTGTGTGAATTAGAAAATGCAACAAACTGTACATCGCAATGCGACAGTGTCTACCTCAGATCGAAATACAGATTTTATCTGGCTGACTACAATCGCTTCTACTTGTTATGTTGTTCATGATTTTTTTAATACCGCTATGTAACACTGACAACCGGGCTTGGGAATCCGTAGTGGGCACAGCATAAATAGCCCATTGCGTAGCTTTGTTCTTAACTATAAATAAACAACAAACAAAAACACTGACAAACCGTACATATAAAAATATCCCTGAGTCGAAAGTTACCCTTTATCGATATAACTTCTTCTGAATCATTCAAAATATGTTTTATGCTCGTTTGTGAAAAATTAAGTTACCTGAAGATAAAGGTATTTAACAATAAATACTAACTAACCGAAGAACAATCCTCGATCAATTTGGCTCTCATCTTCAACTATCCATTATAAGGAAAGTAAATTCATTCCTTGAACTTCACTGAAAGAACAATCCTAGATCAATTTGGCTCTCATCTTCAACTATCCATTATAAGGAAAGTAAATTCATTCCTTGAACTTCACTGATTTTTAAGCATGTATTTGACAACCTTGGATATTTAGAAATCAAGACATTAGATCCCTTCGCGAAATTTATTCATAACAGTTAGTGCAGCACTAAAATATTTTGACGCTATTACATATTTCTATTAAGAATTATAGTGCCCCCTTACGTTTGAAAAAAAAGAACTATAAAATATAATGCGTACTGCACGTAATTAAGCAAGATAACAGAGCGGTTGAACATCAGTTAGAGTTTATTTATAGAAATCTCTACAGAAAAATTACATTTGCTAATAAGACAAGTGAGCACACACAAAAAAAAAGTTGTACAAAATTCTTTTGTAAAATTTGTTTGTTTCAGAATTTTGCGAAATATCTACAACAAAGCTATCTGTTCTTAGTAGTTCCTAAGTTTGAACTGATAAATTAGTTTACTTGTTGTTAAACACAAAACTATACCGTGGGCTATTTTTGTTCTGCCCACCACGGATATCTAAACCATATTTTTAACGTCATAAGCCCTGATCCTTTCCGTTGATTCACCAGGAGGCACATGCTTAGAGGTGAGGCAGTTAGTCAACAACACACGTCGTTAATTCTCGGATTATTCTTGTCTGACAGAATATTGGGACTTGAACATTACTCCTATATCAGTACAAGTTTCTTAGCAACGGAGTGTGAACCGTAAATTCCCTGGCATCTAAAATGATTACGAGTGAAATAAAATTTTAAAAGACATTACCATGATGATATTCCCAAAACATGAACTGACATCTTATACGCTTGAACTAAGGTGTTGTATGGCCTACATGCCGCATGTTTAATGAAGGAGATGAACCTGATGCCATCCCAGAAACATGAACTAATGTCATATAATCTTAAACTAAGACGTGTTATACTACCTAATGTCGCATGTTTAATGAAGGGGATGAACCTGATGCCATCCCAGAAACATGGACTAATGTCATATAATCTTAAACTAAGACGTGTTATACTACCTAATGTCGTATGTTTAATGAAGGAGATGAACCTGATGCCATCCCAGAAACATGAACTAATGTCATATAATTTTAAACTAAGACGTGTTATACTACCTAATTTCGCATGTTTAATGAAGGAGATGAACCTGATGCCATCCCAGAAACATGAACTAATGTCATATAATTTTAAACTAAGACGTGTTATACTACCTAATGTCGCATGTTTAATGAAGGGGATGAACCTGATGCCATCCCAGAAACGTGGACTAATGTCATATAATCTTAAACTAAGACATGTTATACTACTTAATGTCGTATGTTTAATGAAGGGGGTGAACCTGATGCCATCCCACAAACATGGACTAATGTCATATACTCTTAAACTAAGACGTGTTGTACTACATACATGCCGCATGTTTCGGTTTTGGTTCTCTTCTAATTCTAAGATAGTAATTACTATAGAAAACTGCTGCCTTATTAACAGCTTTTTCAAGAAAGTAATATTTCTTCTATAAGTTTCAGTGAATGAAAGTGTGTCCAATGAGTTTTCTTGTAGCTTACTGCTAGAGCGAAAATCAGACCAGTACAGCTAGGTCTTACTAATTACACAATAATGAGCAAACTGAATTAATTGCAATTTTCTACATATTAGGTTTGGACTGGACATTACATACACGATTATATAATGGGAATACATGTACAGCAACACGTAGTTGTTTTTCATTCCCACATTTATTTTATAAACTGAATATCATTTCTGTCCAATGTTTCAAATTTTATTGTATGGCTTCCTAGGGATTCAATGATAGGCTTTAGGGCTTATAACACTTAAATTCGGGGTTCGGTATAGCATTGTATAGCTTTTTGCTTAGAAATAAATATATTGTCCGTTATTTTTCACAGAACTTATATCTGCGTTCATGTGAGATATTTCTAAACATTTCTTCAAGCTGCTATAAAACATTTTTTATATGTGAAACTATATTCATAAACTTTATTTATTACATATTAGCATTAACCCACCTACTTCCAGCAGAGGTCGCTAACAGTCCACTTGCACGATCCAATCATTCACATCGCAAAAACACAATTTAGCCATCAAACTAGTTTTCATGAACAATAACAGTCTAAAGTATTGCGATAGTTTTCTAAATACAATTATGGTTTCAATTTCAAAAATATCAAATAACACTGTCACCAATTCACAAATATGTCTGCAAACGTTGAAAGAAAACCCAAAACTGTATATTTTTGTATTCAAATAACAAAAATTACATAATAAAGAACACTCTATAGCCAAGTCTTGTTGAATAAAATCAAGCGTTAAGACTTGTATTTTAAAATAATTGACCGCTGTCTTTCAATGGCAATTGCTTACTTTTATAGCTTTTAACTGCAATAACTTGGAAGAGATAAGAGTATTCCTCCAATAGCAAAGCGATAGACTTGAGCGGATCTATTGATTGATGCTGCCGAATGCCCTCCGCAATGTGAACCTTGGACCTTCATTCGCAGCCCAGAACACAAATCACTGAGCCACAGTCGGCCCAAACTCCTATTTAGACGACCATTTTTTATAATAACCATATTATACAAATATAATAACCATACTAAAATAGCCATGCGGTTGGTTCTATAGTAGATATTATGAAAAAAATTGAAATTAATTTAACTTCTGTTTGGCAAGACGCTAGAAATTAAACAACATTCTATAGTAAACAGCGTTAT